GGAATAACTTAATATGTTCTGCCAATGGACAAAGGCGGATCCTGAACAAAATTCTGGGGTCAAACCGTTTTATGGCAACCAAATATTGGTTGAACCTTTTTAACCTCTCTTTTGTTGAATTGAGATGTTGGTTTGTTTATTTACTTGCTTTCTGAAGGGAGGTGAATCAAAAGACCACAAATCGTCTTTCTTTTGTCTTTTTCTCTGGCTGTTTTTGGGGGGATTGATCCCATTACCCATCCCCCATTTATCAATAGTAGAACCATTGCCTGATAGATTAGAGTAATAAACCTGCATATTAGAGTAGGGACTGTTGGGAGTTTATGTAGAATTCTATAACTCTCTTCTGTGAACGACCTGGAATGTAATCAACAGAGTTTATCGTTGTAGTCCTTGGTTGTTTGGCCATTAACTTTTGTATAATTTTGCGTAAACACGCACTGCTAGTTTTAGAGCTCAAACTGTGCAGATGTAACTGTTACCACTAACTCTGTACCACGATGTTGCCTTTTGTTTTTACAAACTGTCTGGACTTGAATCATTAATTCTATTTTCACTCAGAGCCTTGTGACAGTGAACCCTGTATGAACGGTGGATCTTGCACCAGTTCTTCTACCAGTTTCACCTGCAGTTGTGCGCATGGCTACACAGGACCTACCTGCGAATTTGGTAAAGAAAAAAATGAGCTTCATATAAGATGTTTAATGAACGTACAGTGCTACTCATAACTGATGTTCTATTCCTATCCATTGAGAGGTAATCGGCTGGTGACATTGATCTGCATGTCAAAAAGTTTGGGTAATTTCAGTGAATGCTTATCTTCTACGCTGCTGCCCACATTGATCTCTACATCGATTAAATTACCAGCTGTTCTTGGTCACGTCTCTTGGCCATTTGGGAGTCCCAAGTAATTTAAAGCCCATGTTTAGTTATATTAACAGGGGAACAGAAATGTGAACTTGAGAAAGAGCTCTCTCGTTTGCAATAATTTTAAAAAATGTTGTTGCGTATCGTATAATCACATCTAACTTTCGACATCATGCGTTCATGCTAAAATTAACCTTGAACTCCACAAAGGTCTATTTACCAAAACAAATGCGACCAGAGAGGAAAGTGGAGCTAAATGTCATTGCGACATTAGATGTTTCCTTGAAATTTTGGTGGCTTGAAAGATTCAGATTTTTACATTCAAATACTAGATACACCCGATAAAACTGAATACCTTCGACAACAGCTAGCCCCTCCCTTTCAGTTATAGACCACTTTTGTTCAGCTTTTGTGAGTGCTTTCCCACCGTACTGAATCACAATCTCCTTACCGTTGTCGC